TTCGATTTCCATTGGCCGCCACTATGTGAGTGAAATTCTGTGCGATGTTGTAGACATGGATGTATGCCATCTGATTCTTGGAAGACCGTGGCAATTCGATATGGGAGCCATTTATGACTGTCGGGCGAATACTTACAGCTCTGTGTGGAAGGGTAAGAAGTTGCGTTTGCTTCCTCATTCACCAGAACAAGAAGGTAGCTCTTCACATAGCAAAACGGCATTGTTTGCTGTTACCCGAAAGGCTTTACTCAACGCCTGGAGGGAGTCCGATTGCATCCTGGCATTGGTCATTTCAGAACAGAACACCTCTACAGAACCTTGCGCAGTCCCAGAGTGTGTTAACCAGTTATTGCATCGCTTTCTGGACATTGCTCCTCCTGAGTTGTCGTCCGAGCTACCTCCGGTTAGAACAATTCAACATCAAATTGAATTAACTCCTGGATCAACGTTGGCCAATTTGCCACATTACCGCATGAGCCCGAATGAACACAAGGTTTTGCAACAAATTGTTGATGAATTACTTGAGAAACAATTAATCCAACACAGTCTCAGCCCATGTGCAGTACCAGCTCTGTTAGTGCCCAAGAAGGATGGTAGTTGGAGGATGTGTATCGACAGTCGCTCCATAAACAAGATTACAGTTAAATTTCGTTTTCCAATGCCACGTATGGAGGACATGCTGGACAAATTGGCGGGGGCTCAAATCTTCTCCAAACTGGATCTGAGGAGTGGCTATCACCAAATTCGGATTCGACCAGGCGACGAATGGAAAACAGCATTTAAAACTCGCCAAGGTTTGTACGAATGGAGAGTAATGCCATTTGGTTTATGTAATGCTCCGGCAACTTTTATGAGATTAATGAATGAAGTTTTAAAGCCCCTTCTCAATAAATGTTGTGTGGTGTACTTCGACGACATTCTTGTTTTCAGCACAACTCTGGAAGAACATGTGAAACATTTGACATCAGTTTTCGAAGCTCTGCGACACCACAAATTGTATTTGAATATAATAAAATGTGAGTTTGCAACTCCTCAAGTGGCTTTCCTTGGATTCAGGATTTCGACTGCTGGAATACAAGTTGACCCGAGGAAGATTTGTGCCATCCGAGATTGGCCAACAACCCGCACCTTTTTTGATATCCGTAGCTTCCATGGACTGGCAAATTTTTATAGGCAGTTTATCAAGGGATTCAGTTTGATCATGGCTCCAATCACTGACATCCTCAAACAACCGAAATTTTCATGGGCAGCAGAACAACAACAGAGCTTTGAATTGATCAAAACCACCTTGACTAACGCCCCTGTTCTCGTCTTACCAGATTTTGATAAGCCATTCACTGTTGATACCGATGCTTCAATGGTGGGAATCGGTGCTGTGCTATCCCAAGATAATAGACCAGTTGAATTCTTCAGCGAAAAATTAAGCCCGTCTCGACAAAAGTGGACGGTATACGAATAGGAACTGTATGCTGTCATCCGAGCGCTGAAACAATGGGAGCACTACTTATTACATCAAGACTTTGTTCTTTGTAGTGATCATAAGGCTCTTCAATATATTAACACTCAAAAGAACATCAACCGGATGCATGCTCGATGGATTATATTTCTGCAAAAATTCACCTTTGTGTTAAGACACAAAAGTGGAACACAAAATCGGGTAGCTGATGCTTTAAGCCGGAGAGCTGTTCTCTTAACTCAGCTACAGACGGACTTCTCAGGATTAGAAGGTATCAAAGATTTATACATTGATGATATTTTTTTTAAAGACATTTGGTCCAAGTGCAGGAACCGTGAATCAGTAGCAGATTATTGCTTAAAGGATGGATTTCTATTTAAGGCTGACTTGCTGTGTATACCGAGTTCATCCTGGAGGCAACGCATAATCCACGAAGCTCACGCAGGAGCTTTGGCAGCTCATATGGGGCGTGATAACACCATCCTTCAGTTGCAGACACGATTCTTCTGGCCACACCTCCGGCGTGATGTGAATAAATTCGTGCAACGGTGCGCGGTCTGCCAAAGCTACAAGGGAGGGGGACAAAATACCGGCTTGTATCAACCATTACCGATCCCAAGCTCGATCTGGGAAGATCTAAGCTTAGATTTCGTGTTGGGTCTCCCACGAACAAAGCGCGGTAATGATTCCATTATGGTTGTAGTGGACAGATTCTCCAAGATGGCGCATTTCATTGCGTGTAAGAAGACGTTTGACGCCCTCAACATTGCCAAACTTTTTTTTAAAGAAGTGGTACGTCTTCACGGCATTCCCCGCAGTCTTACTTCGGACAGGGATGTTAAATTTATTAGCCATTTCTGGCGGGAGTTGTGGAAGCGCATGAGTACACATATACAATTGAGTTCAGCCTATCATCCCCAAACAGACGGGCAAACGAAAGTGGTTAACCGAACTCTCGGCAATCTCCTCCGCTGCCTTGTTCAAGAGCATCCTAAATTGTGGGATGACATTCTCTGTCAAGCCGAGTTCGCCTTTAATTCCATGACTAATCGGTCCACGGGCATGTTTCCGTTTAGTATTGTTTATACAAAATTACCTAACACGGTACTTGACGTTGCAGTGCTCCCCAAAACTCAAAGTAAAGCAGCTTCTGCATTCGCGGATCAATTTGTCAAGTTGATTGCTGACGTGCGCTGCAAGCTACAGGAATCTTCCCAAAATTATAAAACAGCCGCAGATGTACACCGTCGGGAACGCATCTTCCAGCCAGGAGATTTGGTATACGTACGTATACGCAAGGAGCGGCTGCCACCAGGTTCTCAGTCAAAGTTAAGCAGGAGAAAATGGGGACCGTTCGCTATCAGCAAAAAGATCAACGACAATGCATATGTTGTCGATCTTCCGGCCGAATTTACTATGTCACATACCTTCAATGTTACTGATATATTTGCTTATGTGCCACCAGATGACAGCCAAATTACTATCGAATCGGTACAATCCGATTCTTCTCACGGCGGGGGCGAATGATGCGGTGCATCTATACTACAGTGATCCTGAGGAGCATGTTATCTTATTTTCTCTGCTTCGTTAGCCGTTTAGCACATGACCACTATCTTAGTTACTTTAGTTAGTTAAACCGTACTGTGGTGCCTTTTTACTTTTTGTCCCGTTTGGGAAACGCCTGGAGAGGAAGGAGAGGAGTATATGAGTGCTGAGTATAGCAGAGTATAGTAGTTTTGCTAAATTTCTAATACAGAATTCCTGTTTATTCTCTTGTGTTCTGTAATCCTTCCTTTGCAGGTTTTTTGATCTTCATCAATTTGGAGGCTAAGCCTGCTACCATGTAGTTATTGTGATTTACTATGCCCTAATTAAGTCATTATAAGGTTTATCCCTAAGTGAATATATTTAAGAATTAAAACTTTATATATATATATATATATCTACGTACGTATGAAGGGCTCTATAGTAGAATTAATATTTATGATTTGTAACGTTATCATATAAAACATAAAGCAGATGACAAATCTAATCCAATATATTAATTAAGAGGAGGAGGAGGGAGAAATTGGAGACCCGTGAGGCAGGAATTTGTCAATATGTGAAGGTCACGGGAGGCAATATTGAGGCTTGGCTTTACTCCTGAATTCATTGTATTCTTCGCAGTGGTTGCTGCTTATTTTCTATCGATTTGCAGGGATAGAAAGTATGTTGACTAGCTTGCTTGGAACTGGATTAGGAAGATGAGAAGCAAGAATATGTGGCTTGCCAATGGATTGTTGGAGAGATCAGTACAAGTGAGATCGATAGCTCGCTTCCCAACTTGATAGCTCATTAGTTTTATTTATTTTTTATTATTTGTAGGTGGTAGGTTGCTAGCTGAAATTATATATATATATATATATATGAAAGAGAACATTATATTGTTGTAGTTAGCATCATGTCATAAGGAGTTCCTAGTAAATTTTTTTATATTTCTAGTGTTTTGGTAGGGAAGTTTAGAGATTAGGAGTAGGAGTGCATAGAGAGTTTGTTATATTTGAATGTGCAAAGTTATGGTTTTACTAAGATGAGCATTGGACAAGTTAGATTGGATTAAGTGGAGGTATTCAAAGTTTTGTTTGAGACTAGTATTGAATCGTGCGACTGTCTATGAATCTAATTAGTTTTGATCGAGCTAGATTGGATATGAGTTTTTTAAGTGGGGCTAGTTGAAAAAGATTTTATTTGCCAAATTTTAATGTGGATGGTGAAATTGGCTCATCCTAGGATGGGTTAAGATGTTCAATATATCGCTTCAATTAAATCTATTGTTATGCATGATCGTCCAATTTTATGCTCGTGTCAAATCTATATATCGAGTAGGTTGGATGATGAACTGACATGTATCAATTTTAAATCCATATTATAAATAAAAAAATGATAGATTTGGAATATAAGAGGGTTAAATTAACTTTGGAGGACTTCAAAATTTTCCGGAGTACATCTTATCATCGTAGTTGGGTTGAGATTTTATGCTTAAACATGTACTTTGATTAAGCTATGTAGAAATAACCCAATTAATATACCTTTTATTAATTAAACTAGGTTGAGTCACATCATGTTATTGGCTAATTAAAAAATTTACTGAATTTCACTATAATTTCAGGGAATACTAATAAAGAATAGCTAAATACATTTTTCAACAAAAAATCCACATTACTATAAAGTAACTATTATAAAAAAATGAGGATTGTTTTTTTTTTTTCATCCACTAATATTTTGATAAAGCCAATATTTGTGATGATCCATAAGGATCCACATCAAAGACAAGAAGTCAAATAATAGTTGCAACATAATGCATGAATTTATCATCATAAAATTGGCATGTAATTATTCAACATGTGCTCATTATTCAATAACATCATCATATACTAAGTACATGAACAATATTCACAATAAATA